GCCTCACCTTTGGCAGAGGAGATACTGGGAATTTCTGGCTGCTAAGGGAAGGAGACTGACTCTCCTTTGTGGACTTGGTTGGTGGTAGGTTGCCCATACCTGCCAGTGGCCATTAAGAATATACAACAGATGGCAATTAACAATTCAGGTGTCAACCTAGCAGATGAATAACTCTCTGATGGAGGAATCTTGTTAAGCAAGGCTTGCAGGACCGTAGACTCTGAAAACTGGTTGCTTCTGCCTGTAATTTTCTCATACGCCACTATATTTCTTCCCTAAAAACAGCTATGGGTATTTTCCCCCACTGTTTGTGTGTTTATCTCATGGATATATTCCACTTACTGGGCACACATATAGCTGTGGATGGTCAGGAAGATGATTTCTACTTAAGCTGTATAAGTTTGGTGAATAGAAATAATACTAGGATATTTTTCTTAACTCAGACTGACATAGGAAAATAACAGTATTCTTAGCTACAAAGACAGTTTTTTACACATTTAGCTGATTTTAGACTTCAGAGAAAATCCAAAATACACTAGTTGCCCCTGGAGACAAATTGTACAAGGACAAATTCCCAAGTGTCTGTTTGTTGAACCAAAGTCAGGCACAAAGCAACTACAGTAGACATAATTCTCTCAGCAATTGACTTTCTGTTCATAATCCCAACCTCAGTTTATGTTACAAGACTCAAGGTTCAGCCAACTAACTGTTTATTGCTTAAGTCCTGAATTTCAATGTCCCTCACTGTCTGGGAACCCTGACCACTTAGAGCTACCTGCTTACTTCACTCACCATGCCCAGTCAGCTGAACCTCCCTAGCCTGAGAGAAACTGTGTGACTTATCGTGTATTATTAGAGTGGGTTGGATCCTGAAAATGTAACTCATAATTGTCCACAGTTTGGCTGTTGAAGGAGGTACGTGTAGAAAAAGCTATGTAGAGAGAGCTGTGTAAAGAGCAGTGCAGAGCTATGTAGAGAGAGCTGTGTAGAGCTGTGTGTAGAAGGTGGTGCATGCAGAGAGAGCTGTGTAGAAGATGAGTAGCTATATAGGAGAGAGAGCTGAGTAGAGAGATGGAGCAGTAGCTGTGTGAAGATGTGTGTAGGAAGAGATATGTAGAAGAGAGATGTATGTAGAAAAGAGATATGGAGCTATGTAGAAAAGAGATATAACTGTATGTAGAGACATGTGTCTGTATAGATGACAGATGTAACAGTGTGGAGAGATATGCAACTGTGTGGAGATAGAGAGATTTTTTTCAAGACGTAGTAATAAAGAAAGTTACCATCAGAACACATGAGTGCTTTTCCTAATACCCTTCAGATAGAGAAAGTCTAGCCCTCACCACACTCATGGATTTTTTGCATACCCTGGGTGTGGTCTTGGAGCAGACTCTCCCAAAGGCTGCTGATACATATCCATGTGGATATAGGCAGCCCTAGATGGACTTAGGGGTTTATTAATAACAATATTTGTTTAAAAAGGACATGGCATTGGAAGGGAAATGGGGTGGGAGGCAACCCATTATGGCCTTTGACTGGTGGTGTGGAATGCCTTTTCATGTGGTCCTTGGACATTTGTATTTTTTTCTTTGGAGAATAATCTATTAAGTCTTTCCCCTCTGTTTGAAATGGTTTTAGAAGGAGCTGCTACTAGCTTTTAATTCTCATTGTGTTTAGTTTCTGATAATTTATTCTATTAAATTTTTGATTCATTTTATTTTCTGAAGTTTTTAATGTGATTTATATCATTTAGATGTATATGTGTGGGTGTCTACAAGAATGCATGCCCCATGTGTGCAGGTACACGGGGAGACCAGTTTGCTTACACACCGAGAACCTAACATTCCAGGATTTCTTTAAGTTTATTTTAAGTTTATTCTTTGAAAACTTCATGCACTTCTATAACACACTCTGTTCATATCCATTCACCACTACCTCCCTGACACTCCTCCACTGTGTGTGTGTGACATCCTGGAAGCCAAGAAGAGGTGGCAACACAGCTTAGTGGTAGAGTGTATGCTTAGCATGTGTGAGGCCCTGGGTTCAACACCCGGCACCACAAAATAACAGTGATGGCTATGATCTTGTGTTGGAAGCCAAGAAAAGAAAGCGAAGCATTTTAAGGAGGAGGAAGAGTCAATGGGTGAACAGGTCAAACACACAGAGAAGTCACCGCTAAGCCTGGTAATGTAGAAATTGTTGGAGAAACGAGGAGATGGAGATAAAACCCCAAGGAATTGGTTGAAGATCAGCTAAGAGGTGAAGAGGAGTTGATGGCTCCAGACAATGTTTTCGGGTTTCCTCTAAAGGAGCAATGGGGTCAGAAATTACAGGAACTTCGTGTGCTGGTGGTAAGGATTGAAATTGAAAGGACAGGAGCTGATGATACACGGTAAGTAGTTTGTTTCCGAAGCTAAATCATGTGGAGTATGAGGGGAAAAGCAAAAGACCCAAGAGGCCTTCTGGAACACTGCCCTGGGCAAGTTGCTAAGCAACACCCACCAATTGTAACAGGCAAAGCAGAGCACAGAGAGATCTCTGCAGGGTGCTAGAGATGGAAAAAATCAGGAGATTCCATCTGACTTCCTTTATTTTCTCTATGAATTATGAGTGTCTGGAGAGACAGGCAAGTTACAAAATGTTTGTGGGGAGAAGAAATTGAAATAATAATTTGTAAAGTAAACATGACTGGGCAATAGAACTGACCAGCAGTGTGAGTCCTGATTCAAGGACTGGAGTCATGACTTCAAAATGAAGCCAGATTTTCTATGGCATCTGCTTGGCTACAGGGAGAGTAAGTATGTGACTGGATCAAGCAAGGTGAGCGCTACCTCTGTGATCTGTGCTTTACCTCATGATGGAGCTTAATGCCTAAGATCATGGACTATAAACCCCGATTGTCAGAGATCCTAGTTCCGCTTTGTATTGCTTAACTGACTTTGGCTGTGTCTGTAAGGGTTCCGTGCCTTGGTTTCAAAAGACTAGGTCCAAGTATGAATTAGTAATAATGTTCCCACATAATTATAAACCAGTTACATTGTGGGGGGGAGGCATGAGTGTGTGTGTGTGTGTGTGTACACTCAGAAGTGAAAACTGTAAGATCTATAATGAAGAAAATCTTTTTTTGCAACATATTGAGAAAATGTTTCATGATAAAAACAAGTGGTCTATAAATGGAGGACATAAAACCTTCCACATACAAAGTGTGACACTTTCGTGTATCAGTCTTTGTAATGTCCATTATTCTTCCTTATTTTGACTGGAGTGGAATGTGGCACTTGAAAACACACAGACTCCTAGTCTCTCGTAGGTCACACAGCACAGACGGTAGCAGACTGACACTCTACAGCCCTGCCACAAGAGCTGGTGTTTTCAAACTGGAGCTCAAAACCAAACCAAACAACAACAGCAGTAAAATGGATTCAGATGGAGGACCGACCGCTTTGCTCTTTGACCAGCTACTCTTGAATTTTCCCAACTTTGGTATTCCTGAACATGTGAGTTTGGAATGAAGTGTCAGCAGATACAAAAGGTAGACATATTTAAAATAGATGTCAAGATGATACATAAAAAAAACAACCCTGTAATTGATATTAGAACTCACAGCTACATCAACAGTTAAAAATTAAATTCTCAGCACACACGAGAACGAATGTGGTGAAAAACAGTGACCATCAGCTGGACTGGCCAAGGGCTGAAGGAAGTCTTGGAATTTTTACTTACTAACGACACCCAGAACTTCCCGGGCTCTGAGTAAAAGCCACAGAGGATGGGAGAGGGGATTGGTGGGATGAAGATGGGAGGCAGCGGCTCCTCTTCCTCCTCTTCCTCCTCATCACTCTCCTCCTCCAACAATTCCTCTTCTCCAAATGCTTCTCTTAGTTCCGCTAGCTTCCTCCTCTTGGCTTCCCTTTCCTTCTCCTTCAACTCCTTTATTTTTTCTCTCCTTTCAATTTCCTTTAATCTCTTTATAAAAAGATAATAGGCATTTAAAAAACATGTTATTCTTTGGCTGAGTGTGACAAAAAGTTGTAGAAGGAAGATGGGTTCTAGAAACTCCCAGAACTTGGATATAACAACACCATTTACACATTACTACCCTCTGGGGATATACTTTTATCATTAAGATTCCAATCTTCGTGATAAACATCATTTCTGCTTAATCTCCCTGATACCCATTTTACTGAAATCATTTTGTCATTCTTCCTATAAGAGAAAGAACGTGCTGGCTTTTTTTCCTCAAAGCCTGTTACCGTAAACCCAAGAACCATGTGCACTAAAATAAGCAGTGAGGAGACTTGTTCCCAGCTCCTGTAACCCTGTGATGTAGGCATTCAATATCACCAGCTGTCCAATGTAGAGTCCCCCAAAGCTGGTAGCCCCATCTCCTATTTACCCCTGCGAACTAGCTTCCTAATTTGTATGATTTCTTCCCACCAATCCTCTTTTCCCAAGGCCTCACAGTGCCTCAAACTGGTGTGGCTTGGTTGGCATCACAAGGGACCTTTCCTCGGATCCTGTTCCATCTGCCATTTCAACAGCCATTCCCCACCTCCTGAAAATGCTGCAAACTCCAAATGGCAGGCTCTCTAGGGTTCTCCCAGTGTTATTACCTCTCTCTTCCTCTCATTCTCTCAAATGTCTTCCCATCCTCTGAGTGTTCATTGTTGCTTCCAGGTAGGCATTTGTTAACGCCCAATCCATCCATCAGCCACATCACTCCTGCGCACTCTCAAGTTCCTTTCCTTGTACTTGGATTTTAGTTATCTATCTACTACTGCCTTCTCCTGCAGTTAGCTGCCTCCTACCACAGTCAGCCACCTTCCTACCAGTGTGTAGACTCCTTCAGGCCAGGATCTGTCTTACTTTATTTTATTCCTATTCTCCCAGAATCTCTTACAGGGTACTGCATATTCAAATAAAAGAAAAAGAAGGGAGGTGATGTTTCATGACTATCTCATACCAGAATCTTAGATTTGACGCTTGAGAAATGGAAACATCTGAGAACGATGTCTTGGATTTCATAGGAGACGACATCATGATCATCTACATCCTTAATGGCTGGAGTCAGGGATTCAAGAATATAGCCATTCTCACAGAGAGTCATCAAGGTGCTTTCAGGCTAAAAAAGAAACATGCATATCATTTACACGTAGGCAAATTTCTACAAGTTCAAAAAGATAACAAGGCAGGGGAAAATATAGTAATCATTTTAAAAGATAATATACCACTGCAGTTATTAGTAACAATCCTAGTTACTAATGATTATTAGTGTTCGTTATTAACATTAATATTAGTTATTATCATTGAACTACTAACCCCTAACCTTTTTACTAAAGTTAGATTTATATTTGTTTCCTTTAAAGATGCCATAACTTATTTCCTTAGCCAAATATACGGTTGTGAAACCTGTTAGCCTAAAGGGCAGAATGTTCTAATTAGAAATGCTGAGGAATTGTGGGTAACTTCTCAGCTCTGTCACCCTTGACAACCCATCCTCTGTCTTCCTAAGTTAATTTAAACGTTGATGCTCTCAAGGTCTTTGTCTTCTTTCCAATTCTCTTCTCTCTCCATAGGTGGTGTGCTTCAAGAAGGCTTCAGCCTTGACTTCCACTCACATAAAACAGATCCCAGATGGATTGGTCCAGCACAGAAGTTTTTTCTGCCCAAAACCACATCTGGGAAATCCCCATCTTGGTACAATTTGTTATTTATCTACCACATACTCTGCATTTTGTTACATGCTAGAGACAGAATTGTAAGAAAGGCTGCTGTCCTCACTCCCATTATGGAATTTGACTCCAAAGGGAGAGCCTTCCATTTCACACAGATTAATATAAATTTTAATTGCAAAAGTCCTTCCAAGAGACCACAAGAACTTCCAGATTGTGCATGATTTCCTGAGAAAGTGGCATCTAGCTTGAAGGCACAGATGAATAAAACATACTTACAAAATGAGTTGAGGTGTGAGCACTGTTCTGTAAAGAGGAGACATTACAGCAAGTGTCCTGGGGGCACATTTGAGCTTTAGGAGAATGGTGGGCTCAGAAGGCATCACCCAGAGCAAAATCACAGGAGGAAAGAGAGCCAGGGCAAGGCATGAAGGGATTTAACACTGGCTGACTGGCTGAAAGGCCTGGCCAGATGCAAGAGCTGGGAGCAGAAAAGCACTAACATTAGAGGAAGAAGATATTTCAAAAGGGAAGGAAAGGTCAACGGGATCGAGCGATGCTACCATATCAAGTAAGATAAGAATCAAACACCAGGTGGGTATTAGTGGTGCCTTCAGAAGAGCTGCCTGGTACGGAATCGGGGAACTAGAAGGCAGGCAGGAGCAGAGGGAGGATGGAGTGGTCCTCCGGAGAGCTGCCGAGATATGAGATGGGTGGTGGGGGAGGGGAGGAGAAAGGGGGGGGGGGGCAACAGCTGCAGAACACAGGATCAGCGAATTTATTTTCCGTAAGTGGTAAAGATCACCGTTGAAAATTACCCAGTGAGCAGCAGGGAAGGCTAAATGCATATGTCAGAAAAGTGAGAGAGATAATGTCAAATAGTGAAGAAAAGCATGAGGCCGTCCATGGACAGGGGGCAGAATGAACGGCTACTAAGCAGGAAGCGGGGCAGCTCCTCTATGGTAGAAGAAGAGCAGGGAGATGGAAGGCAGAGAGACTGTGGGGAATTGCGGAGGCCCCCGGCTCTCTGGGAAGTGATGCTGAGAGAAAGAGAGGAGGAGTGAAGCGTTGAGGGTTCGAGGTGGCTGAGGCTTTGATAGAAGAGCCATCTCCAGGGCTGTGGAGAACTCATTTAAATCCCTGTATTCTGCAGGAGCTAAGAATCCTCCTTGACATAGGATTATCTCCTGCAGTCTCTGGCTGGCATTGGTAGCAAATTAGGCAAATTAGTTGGGGTAACTCGGGGATGGATTTTTGCCAAATAGGAATAAAGGAAATGCAGCCCCAAGTGGGTTGGGGGGCACCTCTCGCTACAGACACTGAGATTTACTCTTGAGGACAAAAACTCATGACTTACATGACTGGCCGGGGACCACATCAACTGGCAAACGGGCCCAGGAGTGTTAAAATAACCGATTGGCTTGTAATCTTTTTCCACTTCAAATAAGAAGACAGTATTATCTTTACTCTAGAAAATTAAAAAAAGAGACATGTACACTCAATATATATTACTGTGACATCAAGCCCATAGAGCACAAAGATTTAGTATCACATAGTCTATTCAATTTACACTTATAGACACAATAGTCATGTATTCCAGATTAATATTATATATATATATGATTTCAAATGTTTTGATTCATTTTCCCAAGTGTTTCAGTACATAGCTCTAGAAATGTGATTACCATATATATATATATACACATACACACACATATATAAAATATAAATAGAATATAAAATAATTCTACAGTGCATCTGCTGACTACTTCCTGTAGATTATAGAGTTGTTTCCTATATCTGAGGCAGGCTTTTGTTGTGGTTTGCATTTAGGGGATATGAAGGATCAAAGGAGAGCCCTCTACATTCTAGGAAAGAGCTCTCTCGATGAACTTTATAAGCCTCACCTAAGGCGGCCCTCCTTAAGAACACACCTATGTTATAAACTAGTGATTATAGGTAATTCATCCAACATGATTCCAATTGAAATTTTCTACTCATTTAAAATAAGCATTAAAACTTAACTTTCAAGACTATTCTCACATATTATATACAGACTACACTGAAAAAAAATAAGGAAGCAGAAATGTGAATTAATTTTGGTATATAAGGCACAATGAAATAGGTGGACTTAAAAGGGAAGCTAGGCATGGATTCCAATAGGAAATGAGAGCGAATCTCACACTTACCCCGGTGGCTAGAATCTCCCCATCACGTTCATAAGCTAAAGCCGTGACTTCAGCAGTATGGGGTTTGAAGACATATTTCATATGTAACTCAGCGTCTAAGGCTTTCTTCCGTCCTGCAAAAAGTGTAATTCCTTTTGGATCATAAAGTTCAAGAATCCGCACAACACCATCTTGGAATCCTATGACAATCTGTGCACCAGCGTAGCTTACCTTGGAAACAATGAAACGCAGGGGATCGGGATTTAGTTAAGAAATTCTCGGTACACACACAAAAATTTGGATAACTTAGCACTGGCTTCCCTGTTCAAGTCTTGGTTCCATGTTATGGCAACCCCCATCAATTCCAGGGTATTTATCTATTTTGACCACAAGCAGGGTCATCTAAGGCAATTTAAGCTTCCAGTGAGCAATACTAACAGCATGCCTGCCTCCTGTGTAAGAGGCACCTGTCACCAGCAGTTCGGGGTGAACACAAATGGACTGAATGTCCCCCATTAACATGTAAATGAGTATAAAATATGAGCTAACACAGGCGCCAAAGGAAAGAAACACAGCCATTCAGAGCATTTAGCAAATAAAGCCAACCTAGATTGAGGACTCCTCTAAGGCCAAGATGTTAAAGCTGAGATCGGAGGGTGCTTGACCCAGAACTAACTAGATACAAGAAGGTGGAACAAGAACCCGTGAGAGCAGACAGAGCCTGTGCAAAGATCCAGTGTCAGGAGAAAGCAGAATTCAAGGAGAATTCAGCCTTATGAGAGCAGACTAGAGTGAAGAAGCCATGTTACCGTAAGAACTGGAGGTAGAAACCAGAAGCCACCAGGACACAGAACATCTTACACGATATATTGAAAGTAGTCTTTATCCAAACAGTAACGGAAAGCCAGATCTGAGGCAAGCCTGAACCATTTTCTCTGTGATTTCATCCCCAAATAAGAATTAATCATTCTCCAAATAGTCCCATGGTGTTTTAAAAGGTGTGGTTGCATGGATAGAAGACTCCCCAAATAGTCCCATGGTGTTTAAAAGTGTGGTTGCATGAACAGGAGATGCCTCAAGTTCGGTTGCATGCTTACTTTGCAAAACAGAGCTATTCCTATGCACAAGTGGCAAAAAATAGATTTTCGCCGGGCAGTGGTGTCGCACGCCTTTAATCCCAGCACTCGGGAGGCAGAGCCAGGCAGATCTCTGTGAGTTCGAGGCCAGCCTGGTCTACAGAGTGAGTTCCAGGACAGGCTCCAAAGCTACACAGAGAAACCCTGTCTCGAAAAAACCAAAAAAAAAAAAAAAAAATAGATTTTCATCAAAACAAAATGAACCCTTAACAGTGAAAACATGAGATGATTTCTGCAATGTTCTAGGTAAAAAAAAACCAACTTGAAATACTTATACTTCTAAAATTCTCAGCTATAAAATAACTATATCTCTACAAAAATATCTCTGATGCAGTATATTTTCTAGTGTTTTTGGTAGAAGTTGATTAAAAGAACAGACTTACTGTTCGGGGTACCCAAGTGAGGGAAGTACCTCCCTGTTTGAATTTCATTTGAATCAAAGGAGTCTTGCTAGCAAAATCGTAGAAACGAACAAAACCTACAGGGAAAAAAGTTTTAAAAGAAACAAATCATAAACATATTATTTCTTTAAACAATCTTGGCTCACTTTTCATGTAGTAAATATTACAGGATTAAATACAGTAACTCAGATCAAGTGATAGCCTAATAGCCTTTTAAATTTGTATTGATTTTTTTCTTCTTAATTGTTTTTAAATGAACATACATAGTAACAGATTTCCTTGCGGCATATTCATACATACTTAGTTTTAATTGATTTCGCCCACATACAGACATTATCTGCCCCCGCTTCCATTCCCTAGCCCCATCCCCACTGTCTCCACCTATCCCCAGTATTCTTCCTTTCTCTTCCACATCACATGTGTTCTGTGATCCTCTCCATCTCTTCCCTTCGAGCCTCTTTTTCTCCATCTCATTGGACCCTCTGATAGTTTGATAAGAGGCACAAGTTGTGATTGACCAACAAAAAGTGGCCCTTTGCACAGTCTACAAGATTATAAGTACCCAAAGTCGAGAGAAAAGGAACGTGGTGAGAACAGAAAGGGCATACCTGTGGTTACTAAAAAAGGAGTAGCATTTTCATAAATAATTTATAGTTATGTCTTTAGTCTAATCCCTAATTGTGTCTGCTGCAGTCTGTGCACTTCACGCAAACATGAGGACTCAACCTGCGATCCCCATCATCCATGAAAAAGCCAGGCATGGCGGAACATGCTGCTAACCCCAGAGCCGGGGAGGCAGGGACAAGAGAACACCTGCAGTTTCCTGGCTGGCTAGTCTAACAGTCGGTGAACTCAGGGTCAGTGAGAGACCCTGCCTCAAAACATAGGTTGGAAAGCAATAGAGGGAGTCAACTGATGTCACCTTCTGGCTACCACATGCACATACACCAGAACGCATGTACATATACGTGAGCATGCATGTGTGCACAACACACACACACACACACACACACACACACACACACACACACACACACACACGGCTGGGGGATAGTTTATACTTACAGTCCAAGGCAGTTGTAGCCATGAGATAAGTAAGAGGAGAAACAGCCAAGGCTTCGATGGCTCCAGAATGGAAAGAGAAGAGGCATTCTGGGTCCTGGGTCTGAGAATAGAACAAGAACAACAGGTATCAAAAACAGAGCAATATAGAATTAAAGTCAACTTTAAAGAAATGTAAATAGAACCCTGTAACATCATGTGTGGTGTTACTCTGAGAGAGAATTTTTAAAAGTATGACAGCTTAGAAAGAGCGCTGGGCTTCGGAATTAGGAAAACCAGATGGAGTCTTGGCTCTGAGGTTAATGACTGATTTTACACAGATCCCATCAAATGCCACTTCCCAGGTCTTCCTGCCTGCTCAGCAGAGCTGCTGTGAGGATCACATGAGGTAATATAAAGGAAGACTCCATATGTTTGGGAAATGAGCAATGCATAATGACAGTCCTGTTTTCATTTGGTAAACAATGATCTAATGTGGAGAAAGATGAAGCAGAGTTTTAAGAATACCAAACAATTTTT